GGGGGGGGAGAAATGCTGAGTAATGCCAGAGGTTTCTCAAATGGCTGATGCAAACCTGGAGAATTTGCATCATCATTCAGCTGGAGTAACTTGGTATGACAAGAGCTTAAATACAAGTCCACGCGGAAGCTGAGCTGGTTTCCAAAGCTGGGGCAGACCCAGCTCACCGGGTGGAAGCGCAGGTGTTCCTCAGCAGCGCTCGGGTTGCAGGGAAGGCTTAAAGACACTCTGAGCTCGCTACCTGGGCACAGGAGCAGCCGGAAAGATAAAGGGCGGGCAGAGGACGAGACGAAGTAGTTAGCTACGCAGAGAGGGAAAAACCCTCGAGTTTCTGCTGCGAACTTTGTTGCCTGTGCTTGCCGCCAGTGCACTGGTGGTACTGTAGCATGTTTAGGAAAGCTGCTGTAACCGCGGTCTCTAATGGAAGCTACTTGCAGGGGCAAGCTAATGGCAGGTTGCCCGCTATGGACAGCGGGCAGCTAGCCCAGGAGGGAAGAGTTGTGCTGAAGAAGAAAGTGACACTTTTGAGGGGGATATCAATCATAATTGGCACTATCATTGGAGCTGGCATCTTCATCTCTCCTAAAGGCATCCTGAAGAACACTGGCAGCGTGGGCATGTCCTTGACTGTCTGGACAGTGTGTGGTATCCTCTCGCTCTTTGGTAAGTCCCTTAAAAGTTTCTAACTGGTCTAGAGGGGCAGCTGGTGGATTATTGCTGTTATTTGTCTGATTTTACTATTGGACAGCAAGGCACAGTGTGGAGCTTGAGGACCAATAGGGCTCCAGAAGGTTTGTGCTGCGTGATAGGCTGCATGGAGGGCGCAGAGGTGTGCAACCCCTGTCCGCCTCGCACTGCTCGGTGAAGATTGGAAGCATAAATTATTGTTTCTTTTGGGTCCCTAAAGGAACAGGAAAAGTAAACGTCCCTTTAATGCCATGCAGTGTGCTGTACTTAGAATGTATTCCTTCTGGCTTTAAGAGGTAACTTATGTTTCGCTTGTAAGGCCCCCGGCAGCTCGGGATGCGGGACGTTCTGCTCAAACACGGGCGAGATGTTTAGACAGCTCGGCTTAGTTCCCTAGAGGCTAGAGCGAGGTCTGGGAGGAATACTTCCCACTGGATGTAAGCTGTATTGGTATGCAAGGGAGCAAAATAACACCACGAATAACCCCTCTCCCCAGTCTTGTGTTACTGCTCTTGGCTTCTTGCTCATGACATTGCTTTGAAAGATTGCACTGCGAAAAACAGTGCGATGGAAACAAATTCGTAACGTGAGTTTTGTTGCTGGCCCGCCTATCGTGACAGCTTTTACCAATTGTGTGTATTTTTGAAGAGCATAAAATTCTGAAGAATGTCAGTTTATTTGTTCTGTACACAAAGCCCCCATTCAGAATGGAAAACCCCACCCTAGCCCCTGCAGGACAGAGGGTCCATTGACCTACTTAATGAGTTAATCTCAAAGAAGCTGAAGAACTAACATGAATATTGGCTTTATTTAAAACAGAATCAACTTGTTTTCTGGCAAGAGGTAAAGAGGACAAACATGGGCTGACACGTGTCTGCTTAATAGGTGCAACATGCAAATGCCACCCTGTGTAAGTTGGCTCTGAGCTTAAAAGAAACAGTGACTTCAGGCTGTACAGTTTTCAGGCTCTTCTCCAGAGGCTGAGCCAGGCATCTCTAAGGCTGAGCCGATCATAATGTTGATAACAAGGAAATGTGTCAGAAGGCTTTCACTTAGCAGTGCAGTCGGGCTGGCTGGGGAGCTGGAGAACATGACACAGCATTTTGTGTCTTCACGAGATATAGATGAGTAGTAAAATGTGTCAGCAAACAGCTTGTTCACGTAACTGTACTGGATGTGTGTATGGTTTGGTTAACTGCAAATCTAGCTGAATGAAAACTTAAATGAATTAAAATTGCTTGAAAAAGAAGACTAAAATATATCAAAAGTAGTTGTGGTACCATGGCAGCTCCATTTTTTTAGCTTATATGTGCTTTGAAAGCTATTTCTGGAAATCTCTTGTGATGGCACAGTTTGCCTCTCACAGGTGCCCTCTGCTATGCTGAACTAGGAACATGTATTAAGAAGTCTGGCGGTCACTACACCTATATCCTGGAGGCCTTTGGCCCGTTACCTGCTTTTGTGAGAGTCTGGGTTGAATTACTCATCATTCGGTAAGTGTATCATGGCTTTTCTGTGTCCCTCTTCTGATGGCAATACCCTTTTCAGTCATAAAGAAAAATCTCCAATACATGATGGACAAAACAAATCGACTATAGCTTGATCAATGAGCTGCGTTCTTTTGGTATGGTTGTTTCAGAGGATTTAACAATTCTATTTTGCTTGTCAGCGCTGAAACATTCAAGAAGACGTACATGCATGTATGGGGGGAAAAGAACGATTCTAAGAAAACTGCCTGCCACACACATTCAGCTACTTGCTTTACTCTTGCTAAGCTTACTGTGTCGAGTCATGTCACTAATAATGTAATGCACATGACTATATATGATACAGTGGAAGAGGAAAGTCAAACTTTACATTTTCTCAGTCTTGGCACGAGCTTATGGAGTGGTGGTTGTTGTCTGTGGATTAAAGAATAACTCCTGGTGAAGCTATTGCCCAGTAGTTTCCCGAGTTGGGGGCACCATGTATTCTTTATATGTTAAATCAGGTCCCTTTTTTTTTTTTTTAGTTTTCATAATGCAAATGGATCTTTATATCAAACTCAAGTATGTCCTATTGAATTTTTAATTATTTTGTTTTGTTCGCAATATTGCTGAGGCTGGAGAGCTTGTTACAGGTAGAACAGAGCAACTCACTTATGCAGAGTGACTTCAGGAATGCTCAGTTCCTGCCTCAGGCTGGTTAGCACTCCTTTCCCCTCTCCTCCACAATCAGCAAATTAGTCACAAGAGCACAAACCTCATTTCAAATCACAGCTAGGTTTACATAATACTGACAAGTTCTAGCATAGACTGTTGAGTTTCAAAGCAGTGACAGTGCTGAGTCATTGTGAATCCATAAATCCTTATCTTGTTTCCGGAGGAAATCATTGTGTATGTCAGATGGTCCCTTACATCCTCCCCACCCATGTGTAACCTTTGAATTAACTGCATAATTGCCATCAAACGTGATGAAAGAGCAGATGTTTTAACCCTAATAACTTCTTGCCAAAAAGGAAAACCAGAGAGAGGACACAGACCCGTTTCCACTGTGAGCAGCACGGTGCTATGAGTGTACCTGTATCGTTGCACATCGCAGAATCGACACAGAAACCCCCTCGTTAACCCTGCACCTTGCTGGGCAGGGGGACCTTGCTAACCTAGACACAAACACCCACGAGGAACCAGGTGTCATAAATTCCTCTCCTTGCAAAATGATTATTTTTTTTACGTATGACAGTGTCCCAGGAGTGTCGTGAAAACACTCTTTAGTCATCATGATCTGCCCCACACCCAGAAAATAACCATCTTGCATGGGAAGGAACATCAGTGGTTTCTTTAATCATCGAATCTGAGGCAGCGAGGGAGGCGTGCTTGTTACAACTTGTGATGATCAGAGCAGCGCTGCTGAAACTCTGTGTAGAGTTTTGTATCTGACTCCTGCATCGGTAAACTAATTGGCTGCTCCTATCAAAGAAGCTGAGACCCAGTATCTAGGTGTTCTTCAGTAGATGAAGTGGTACACACACGCTTCTCTGCTGAGCCGTTTTTTTTTTCCTCTGAAAGACTGCAGGATTGTCACACTCATAGGCTGGTGGAGCACCCGCAACCAAATAAACGTTTCCTGCTCCTGTAGACCTTTTCAGCCGCTATTTTGCAGTCTAGGGCACGCTTAAACTCTGCTCACATACTGATTAAACTGTGCCAGCATCACCTGCTGTTTAGGTGTGCCTTACACCACGGTCCTGCTCTCATGCAGTACGAGCAGGAACTTTTTTCTCCCCAAAAGTCATGCCGTAGGTATATTACATACCTTTAAAAAAAAAAAAAAAAGGAAAAGCTCGTTCTCAAACAAGTGAAGACGCCTTTGTGAGTGCATTGTCTGTAGTGCTTAACTGTGGTGGGTGCTAAACACGGGCTGGGTGAGAGTGTGCTGCCAAGTGACTCGCTCGCCTGCGGTATGTGCCGTGGCACCGTACCTGCTCCTTCCCGGTGGCTTTTTGTGCTCCTTGCCCTCAGTGAAAGCAGCTACCGGGCGTTCGGTCCGCTCCTGAGCACACAGCTGCCGGGGGGCTGCCAGCCTGTCTTTAGGATGACAGTCAGAAGGAAAACGTCCCATTCCTTCCACTTCCAGCTCTGTTGATTGACTACGCTGCCAGCAACATCTGCCCCTGGACATGGGAATACAAGACACAGCTGTTGTTTAGAGGTCTAGTGTAGGGGCTATGCTTTAAAGCAGCGGTGTGGGTAGTAGCAACTGCCACTTTAAAAAGGCTTTTCTTAAAATGAGAGGGAAAAGTCCCAAGTTCTGGAAAAAGGAGCCACAACAGAGGAAAAAAAATCTGGGAAAGCTCCAAAGATCTGATCTTTCATCTTGTCTAGGACACTTCAGACTACTTTTGGCAGGCTGGAATGTTTGAAAGCCGGAAGCCTGACGATCTCCTTATGCAAATTAGAAGTATGGCACTGAGGCAAAGACAGTAAATATCTGTGTAAATTCAGCTCAGAGGACATTTGGTCCCTAAGCGAAGGCAGAAATTGCAAAGCCAGTTGTTGGCCAGTGAGAGGAACAGTCCTCGTGCTTGGGGGACAAAAAAGCAGCAGCTCTCACTTGTCCACGCAGAAACTTTCTGAGAAAGTTACTTGTCTTTGCTGCTCTGCAGTTTGGTCCAAAACAATGTGTGACATTTTGGGTGAGTCATAATGCTAAGAAAGTGGGTTTTGTTTCATGGGTGCAACTCTCTTGTGGAAAATTCCTTTATCATTCGATGGAGAATAATAACTTCTCTGCAGAATTTTTACATGGTTCCATGGCATTTTTAGCAACAATATTTTTATTAATATTCTGTAAGGTGAGGCATTATTTCAGTAAATGCTGTAGTTTTTTTGGAATAAATTTGCACGGACTCTTGTTTAACTCAGAAATCGTTTGGGACGGAATCATATGCCCTTTTGTCCTTACTGTGTGTGAGCGTGTGATGAAGCACAGATGCCACCAGTTGTCCTAAGAAGAGTGGAAGTGTCCTCCCAAGCCAAACGTGAGCAGCCCACTGGAACTGTGATATGCACACAGTGTCTGATCTGAGGCCCAGGGTAATTTGCTGTTAATAAGTGTAAGTGCTAAGTCTTCTGGCAAAACCTGAGCTTGTCTTAAAGGCAAAGACTGTATGAGCGTTATGAGTACTTCAAATTTGTGAATGCAACAACTGCACGCCCTTCTTCACATTTCTGTTTCATTTTCTGTACTTCGAGGATTTTTACTCTCACCTGCAGTACTAGGAAGTTGTTAGTCAAGAAAAGGAACAAGTTCTGTTTGCGTTTTAGGAAATGCCATTTTCATTCATTTTTTGCATTGTCTCAGATTTTAATAACGGAATTGGGTAGGTTTTGAATACTTATTTCAGTAAAACTGAGTTCTCAGCTTGCTTGAAATTAATCTGCTTGTGTCTCTGAGGGTTAAGACATACTTGGCCACTAAAATTCATCAAAGCTAAACTGCTTGTGGTTTCCTGCTACATCCAGAAATCATGGTACCTGGCAGCGTTGTTACAAGCAGGCACTGAAATTAGGTACGGTTCACAGTCCTGTGGTAGTGAAGTTACGGCATGATCCCATGAGAGTATTATTTATGTACTATTGCGGATTAATTTTTTGATTTTGATGATGTTGTTGTTTTTACTCTAGCCCTGCTGCCACAGCAGTGATATCGCTGGCATTTGGACGTTACATTTTGGAACCTTTCTTTATGCAGTGTGAAATCCCAGAACTTGCGATTAAACTTATTACAGCTGTTGGCATCAGTAAGTATCCAATTTTAGCTTCAGGGAAGGGTAGAGATGATGTAAATTGGAAAAAAAAAAAAAAAAAAGTAATCATGCACTGAACAGGTAGTTGTTTGATGTGAATCGTTACAAAATGACTGTGCATCTAATGCCAAGGACATCCGTGTGACTTTTTGCCTGGATCTGTGTGTTTGTGAACATATGCGGTAGTAAAAAGAATAGTAGACTTTATTAATGGCAGGAAAAATCTATTGCCAAGGCTGATACTGTTGCCACTTGAATTAATGGCAGAACTCTCATTACTTTTGTGGAAGCAATTTCAGTCCCGAAGAGATGGTGAGCCAGTGCCAGAGATATGGAAGAATGATTGCCTGATCTGAAGTGCTTTGCTCTACCTCCGTTTGAGGAGGCAATCGAGTGCCAAACATGATGCCATGAAGAAATGTAGTTCTCTTGAGTGGAGCACAGGCAACATGAGATCATCTTCCCCAGTCCTACTCTGTCCTTCACAGCAGTAAAGCTTGCCGAGGCACTTGGGGTTCAGGAAGGAGGAACCCGCCTGACGATGTTGGGAGCAGGGTGTTCCACTCGGTGAAGGTGCACGTCTGTTACCAGCAGCTCGTCCTTTCTTGCTGTCTTGGCAACCAGCGCAAAAGGGACTGTGTCGGGCTGCCAAAACCCACTGATGGCCCATGGAAGGGGGGAGGCTGCCCTGAGACCTGTAGCGTGCCTGGGCTGGTGTGGGAAGGCTGCCTGGAGCGGGGAGGCACAAACCGTGCTGCCAACGGGGCCCTGGAGCCGTCAGCCAGTAGAACCAGAGGCTTCTTTCCAGTTCTGCCTGGGCACTGGCCGTGATGCTCCTGCACACGTGTGTGCGCGCATTCGCATCCAGCTGTGCTGGGAGGGGAGTGCAGAGCAGACCTGAGTGTAATTAGTGACAGATTGTTCCTTCCAATGGGGTAAATGCACATAGCCGGAACAAAAGGACTGGAAAAAGGAATTAAGACATGCAAAATGATCAAAGGCACACAGGAGACCCCCTCGGTTTTGCACAATAATAGGTTCAGATGACTTTTTCTTTCTTTGGGGTAGAGAGTTCAATTGGCATTGAAATTTCTAGTCTCCAGGTTACTGTGGCTTTTGGTAGGAGCAATCTCAATAAGAGCTCCCTTCTGCCAGAAGCGATAAAAAAATCAGTACGTGACCGCATTTCTTTCTAACTTAATTATGCACAAACTATAGGTTTCATAGGAATAATTGAATTAAGGGCTTGAGTTTTGACGTCAGTGACTTTTTATAGCTACATCTGTCTTGAAATATTTCAGTGCAAGATAAAGGTGAAACAGATGTTCAGTGACTTCAAGGTCACTGAGACAGAGGACTCTATCAAAGCATTTTAAGTGCATGTGATTCAAGCACAATAAGTGAACAATTTGAGATAGGTTTTTATTGCTTTTAATTTAATTGAAAATCTGCGTGATTAGCCAGGGCTTCTCGAAGTAATTAAAGAAATAACGTTACAGGGGTGGGGGTTTGTGGAGTTATGCTGAAATAATGACAGCCTAAAGGGAGAGAAGTTCACAGCAGGCTGCCCCTGTGGTGAGCGTGGGTCTGTACAGCGCAGGTGGAATGGGCTGTCTGTTCACTGAATGAAGGAATTCTGGTAGGAAGTTTGTAATGGTGAATGGGACAGCACTGAGGAAAACAGTGACATGTCAGACTGTGACTTTATCTTTGTTCTCTGCAGTACGCTCTACAGGGGAGTTTCACGTGTAGTAGCTTTTGATCATATGCTCTGCCTAAGCTCAGGGATCTCAGACTGTTGTTCTTGTATGGTACGAATTAGCTGTTGTGGTGATAATTGTTATGAATGTTTTGTATTGTGCATGTAGGCAGAGTGATTGGTAAGATAAGGTGGTGTTGAGCTGAACAGACACACTGGAGCCCTCAAGATCTTAGAATATGATTTGATGGTGCCAAAGGTAGTGTTCGCTTCCACTGAAAATTTTAAGTTAATCAGGAAGTGAACTGATGTGCCTTTTGTCTTCTGATCCTCTCCTGGTCCCTTCTGCCTCCTGTGCCTTACGACGGAGAGCTCACTAGGTGTCCGTATCGCACGGTGGGAAGGGTAGTGCGAAGCACCATTGAGCGCTGTCCGTGGATGGGACTTGGTTCTGTAGTTTTACCTTTAATTTCTGATCATACTAGGAAGGGCAGGAAGAGAGTTTTGAAAACTCGCCGAATGATCCCCTGCCCCCAAACACAGTCAGCGTACCTAAACAATTGCTGACAGTTGTTTGTCTAAACTGGTCTTAAAACCTTCACTGGGGGAGTTTCAAAGCCTCAGCTAACACCGTAGTCCAGTTTTTACTATTCTTGTCACAAAGGACACTTGTCACTTTTCTCCCCGTTTTTTTTTCCCCACCTGAACCTCCTTTTCTTCAACGTAGGCCTGTTATTACAAGGTGGCCTGAGATGGATGCAGCCAGGATTATGATGTGGAGTGGCAATTACACTTGCTCCTCTACCAGCTCCAAACAAGTCCTTCTTGTAGAGGGGCTGCAGCCCATTCTGCTCCCCACCATTCCACCTCAGTGCCTCGGCAGTGAAAAACGAGCAATGGTGCTGCAGAGAAGATGTAGATCAGATGAGAGCTAAAATTGAACTACTGGAGATGGTGACCTTTAAAAAACCCCCTCATTCTTGGTTTATTATTTATAGGAAAAAAGCATAAAAAAGCATGTGCTGGGCACAAAATTCCCCTTGAAATCGCATCTGTTCTGAGCAATGTTGAACAATCTGTAGAAGCAAATTTTCTGTTTCACAATAGGGTTCTTTCCTTTCCTTTTTTTTTTTTTTTTTTTTTTTTTCTAAATAAAAACAACCAACCAAAAAGTCCAGATATTTCAATGGCTCCATAGAGGGAAGGATGCTTGTGTGGAGGATCTCTTCAGATACCCCAGCTTTCTGAACCTCTGAAGCAAAGGCTGCCTGTTCTTTTTAAATTTAGAAATCACTTTAATTCACTTGGTATTTCTCAGGCAAATCTTTGCAAGGAGAAAACGCTAGGCCAATACTGGAAATGCATCTCTCAGTCTGTTTGTCAGTCTGACAGAAACCTTTTTGTAAACTCAATCGATTTAACTGTACCTGAGAGAAGAGCAGACATCTCAAAGATACCTAACTGCTACAGTTTTTATGAAAATAAGTGACCAGGTGGAGGAGAGAGAACCTGGATGTGCCTCAGCATAGGGAAGGACAGCTGAAGAAAATGCGAACAGGAGACAAGGCCTTCTAAATGCCCACCTTTGCTTGGGTGGGGTACAACAGCCCCAGGACACAAAGCAGAAGGGATGATGTCCGCCTTTGTTCTGATGCTATAGACGATCTTTTTAGGAGAAGGCATTAAAAATTAATTTCTTTCTTTAAGTGAAAGCTGGTAGACTCCTCCGTATTTATTGTTTCTTCCAATAAAGAAACATCCTGTCACCATGCTTATTGCCATTGCAAAGCATGGTGATAGTGCTAAAAACCCCGCTATTCTTAAATTGCTTTATTTGTATAATTTAACTCTTCTCCTAATGGTAAGCTTAAATATATAGGTAACAGGAAGGGATAAGCAAAGGTATTGAACTGTACTGTCAGTACGTAACCTGAATAAATATGCTGTCCTAACTGAGTCTGTTCTAATCTTTTCACTTAGCCTCCATATCAGAAAGCAGATGAACAGCTTTCAGCTATTAAAAGGGGTGAGACTGAAAGCAGGTTTACCAACTCGCACATGTTTTTAAGGGTTTTACACTTATTCATGCATATTTTGGGTATCTTATGCCACAGTAATGTGTAATTTCCCCCTTTTTTCGGAGGTCTGCCAGAAAACCTCAAATACTCCAAACTGTGGCTGTTGGAGGCAATACTATGCTTGAAAACCAAGGTCACCTGTACAGATCTATCAGTGCTTGCTGGCAAATACTCCAGACCAAAGCTTTATTGGCATATTTTTGGTGTGTATGTGAGACTATAGTTAGTTGCCTTTTTTCTTCCCCGTCACGGCAGATGTTACAGACATTGCTCTCTACGGCTGACAGTTTTCAGACAAGCAGGTTAAATTAAGACATCTCTTGGCTTGCAGGGGTAGCAAAAGCTGCTCTGATGGGTGCTTTCGTGCTGCCTGTGACTTCATTTTAATTGGCGCATTAGGATCTGCAAATTGAGGGTATTTTTTGCTTTCTGTGAATGCCTTGACCCTAAAAGCCTGACAAGTT